AGTGAAATTTTTCTTAACTTCAATTCAAATTTAAAAATAATAATTTTTTAGTAAATATATTGTGAAATATATTAAATTAAAGGATGCATTAATCACTATCTTTAAAAAATATAATAATTATAACCTTAATAAAAACACAAGTTAGAAAATGTGTTTTTCTTTTTTCTGGAGAAAAATACTTCAATAAATAATCATGTGTCTATGATGTACTCCCTTTGTTCCACTTTAATTGACAAATTAAAGTTCTATCGAGGAATTTAAATTTACCAAATACCAGCTACAATCAAGCAACCAAATCATGAAACTTTGTTCAAAAATTGAGATAAAAAAATTTAATCAGTAATCAAGGAAAAACCTAATTGAGTAAAATAAATGCTTTTGTAAATGTGTGGTTAAATACGGGAAAGTTTGATTGCTGTGGATTAATAATAGATTGAAAGGTGAGAACGGACAATTAAAATGAAACAAAAAAATCTTATTCCCAACAATTAATATAGAAAAAATATATATATATATATATATAAATATATATATGTATATGGGGTTAGTGTTTATCCATCTTACCTCCAAAAAATTAGGAGGAAAAATAACAAAAATCACCTTAATGCATACTTTAAAAATAAGGTAATTTAATCTTTTTCAATAAAAATTTATTGAAACGACGTAGTTTTAGGATGATTTCCCTCTTAATCTTTAAGAGATAAGGTTGACAGGTATTTTTCCCTATGAATATATATATATATAGCCAATGCACTAATTTTTCTCAATCCCTCGGTATTTATACCTCTTTCCTTTTCTTCATCTTACATTCTTTCTTTCATCTCCTAACTAACGGAGGGGAGGTTCACAATCTGCACTCTTAGTCTGCTGTATGGGTTCTGAAGGGCATGGTGCTGTTTTGGGTATGCAGGAAGTTTTAAGTTGCTGGAAACGGCTTAGAGGTATTTCCTTCTCATGTTGACTTCTTCTTGATGGCTGCCCTGAGCTTTTGGATTTCTTGAATGCAGCAGGTTAATTGTGTTGCGTTTCTTGTTTCCTACGGACTGTACTCTGTTTTTGGGAGTATTTCTTATGCTCCTTCTCTAATAAATATCATATAGCTTTGCTGATCAAAAAAAAAAAACATTCTTTCTTTCATCTTCTTTCTCTCTGTCCAAACATGGTCAAGAAAGAAAGAAACAGAATGTCGAGGGACTTCATGCTGTGCTTGGCCATGGTTCTGGTGCAGGTATGCTACGCTGTAATGAACATCACCTCCAAACTGGCCATGGAATCCGGCATGAAACCTCTTGTTCCCCCTTCTATATGTACATGCATGCAGCAGATAATCAAAATAGTTTTGTTTAGCCAAGAAAAAGGGAAATGCTTAGGAAGATTGAAAATGGGGTAAAATCTTGTGATATTCTTTGAACAATTTTATTTTCTTAATTATCTAATTGTAAATGATAGGTTAATGTACTCTTCTCATTCATTTGTTAGGATGAAGGCACTTCAACTAGTTTATAACAAAAGATGCGGCAAAATATTAAAAAGGTTAAGAAAAATAAGCTTATGAAAGGTTTTGAGATTATTTAATGAGGTTAATGGAAACAAAACGGATTATTTTTAATGGAGTTAAGGGAAGCAAACGAATTTTTTTCTAATAGTTTGTCAAAAGATTTGGGTTTTATTTGTCGCTACAAAAGATTTTGGATATTCTTTACCCATTTTCTAATTAATTATCCAAGGATTTTATTTGGCATTAAGCCTTTTTTAATTAGCTTTAAATTAAATTAAAAAATTTTCTATCATGTGTTCTATAATTAACACAATTTTTATTTTTTAATATACATAAAAAATATAAAAACTAATATTAATTTTAATATTAATGCTACTTAAATTATTCTTATTAAATAGTTAA